GTTTTTCAAAAATCGATGGATTTTTCATAAATTAATGGGTTTTCTAATTTTCGGTTGAACTTTTCGCCGTTGTTCTTGGCTATTTTAGAGAGAAAGCAGGGAATCCTAAAACTAGAGAGAGAAAGAAGACTGAGCTTCTAAGAAAAATATTGGGTATCTGACTTATATACCCTTTCAAAATGACACCGTTTTGCATACTTAAGATCCGCGCGTGACCCGATTAACCCGCATGTCGACTTGACCCGTTTCGTAAGTTTTCCTTTTCCATTTTCTTTTTTTTTTGTTTTTATTTATTTTATATTTTTAATTTAATTTAATTTAATTTATTTTAAATTTCTTTTATCTATTTTACTTATTTTTATTGCTTGTTTATTTTACTGAATATCTTATAAGATTCTATGGTTTTTTTTTTTAAATAGTGATAACAATAAGATTAAAGAATAAAAAGAAATAAAAAAATATTTTCAAATATGAAATTTTGCAAATCAATTTTAAAAAAATAAAGAAAAATATAAAATCAAATTTTTATTTTTATCCTCTAAACTATTAGAGAATTGATTCAAATTAAGTCCTACCAAATTATTGAAAGACTTAATGAAATTTTCAAAAATTTTCACAAATCCTTTTATAATAAAATCTCACTAAACTATTGGAAGAGCTACCTCAAAGTAAGTCTTACCAAACTATTAAAAGACTTTACTAATTTTTTTAAATAAGATATTTTAATAAATCAGACGACGGAACCTTTTTAAAATGGGACACTAATCTCTCATGAGGTAAGAGAATTATCTTAAATTATTACCAAACTATTAGAACAATTTTAAGATTAATTTTTAATATTAAATAATTTGATAAATTACAAATATAATCAAAGCTTAGATAATCTGAAATTAAATTAGTACTATCCTTTGGATGGATGTTGTGATGGTGTTATAATTTTTTTCATATATAACCATACTTTCAAACTTAAAATTTAATTCCACATATCATAATCTATTTCAAGTAATCAATCATACCTAAACAAAAAAAATTAATAATAATTTTTTTAATTTATATTTAATAATAAATTTACGAATTTATATATTATGATAATTATATTTTTAAAAAATTTATCATCGAGCAATACTGTTATGGTATAATATATTTTTTTTAATTATTTTTGTGGTGTAAAGTTGGTCGTCAATTATTTTATGACTTTTTTTTTTTTTAAATGAATGAGAAAGAATAAAAGCATTTATTTATCGGAATCCAAATGCAAAAGAGGAGATGATGGGATGCATGTCCAAGTTTGAGGTGTTCTATAACCTAACTGAGTTGACAACCCACTTTACAACAAGTAGCCAAGGAAATTCAATATTTGTTTGTTTATGATGAAGAATCTGTTTCGACTGCGGTAGAAATTGTGGAATTATTAGGAGCTACTCTTGGGGTTGTTAATTCATATATTTATATAGAATAACATATTAATAATTTATATATTTATATTATATCTTATATAAAATTATAACTCACAATTAACATAAAAATATAAAATATATATATTTAATTTTATTATATTTAAATATAATTTGTATTAAAATTTTAAATTATATTATTTTTTATATTATTTTATATCATTTTATTATATGATATTCTAAATTATTACGCTTACCCAACGTGACCTGGCTGATAATGATGATCTTCTTGATCACTATATCCACGATTTGTTACTTTCTAGTTTTGTTGATACTCTAGTTTGTGACTATCGATTGATCTTAACGGGAATTCATGGTGACTAAAATGCTTGTCCGGAGTCATCATTTTACAGGTGACTTCTTTTATTCAAAAAAAAAAAAAATTTTACATGAAACATCCGGTTGCCTCGATATGTACTTATCTTTTTATACTTTGTAAATGAACAAAATATTTAATCAATATATAATTTGTAAATAGATTTAAACTTTTTTTATTTATTAATTTTAATAAATAATCATAAAAAATATTTTAAAATTTATTAATTAAACGAATAAATTATGAATATATCAAAATTTATTTATATTCAATTCCTTTATATTAATAAATGTAAACAAACAAATATTTGATAAATAATTCATAAATAAATTTGACTTTAATTTATTTATATTTATTTATAAAATTTAATAAATAATTATAAACAATATATTAAGATTTCTTAATTAAACAAACAAATCATAAACATACTAAAATTTGTTTATATTCAATTTGTTTACGTCATTAGTTTTTCATTTAAATATGATATTCTAATTTTCTTTTAGTTTTTTTCATAAAGTAGTTTTCTTGCACAATAATTTCTCATATCTTGAAATAGTATCCAAAGGAAATTATCTTTTTTCATGTAACGATATTGTTTTTAAGTCCCACGTAAACGGATCCGTTTATTTATTATTTTATATAAGATACGATTAAACGTGGGAAAAGAAGATTCGATATTACCTATTTGATTGAAAATGTATAGGTGCATTTTATTATGGATCAAATCTTCAAGTGCTGAATTCATATCTCAGCCTACATGATGCCCCACGTAATACAACAAAAATGGAGATGAAATTTTGATTAAGAATGATTTAGTTTGATATCTATAAAGCCGGATTCCTCAACTAATAAAAGTAAACATTAGTAAAATTAATTCACATCAAAATTTTTTTCAAATTAAATAAAAATTAAATTTGATAATTTATGTATTTATATTTATTTATTTCATATCAAATAACATAAATATTGTATTATAATTTATATTCATATATTAAATACGAAACAAATTTTTTAATTTTTATTAAATTTATATATAATTTTTATTAAAATTTTAAATTATATCATTCATATATATATATTATCATATTATTATATCATATTTAAAATTATTAAGTCTAATAAAGACCATCAAAGCCCAAATGAAGGAATACGTACCAGACATAAAAAACAAAACCAAAGGGAACCAAACGGAACTGCAATTGACTTGTTTGCTTGTTTGTTCGTCCTCTTACACATGCGGCCATAACAATAACAACGAAAATGAAACCGCATTTTCTTTTTCAAGCAGCATAAAGTTGGATTTCCTGTCTTGTATAATCTAGTTGAGAATAGATGCGCATGTAAAAAGGTTTTGGCTCTTGTGCTTTTTCCTCCCCTTACCTTTCAAGTGTATTGGTGAAGATTATACTTGTGCTTGAAAAAATAAATAAATAAAAACAGACAACTATAGATAAAAGAATTCAGCTTAAAATGAGCCGACTACATATAATATTAACACTGGTCCGAACAATTGTTTCTTGTTTCTATTAGGATTCATGATTTTCGGCCTCCGATCCCTGCTTTCTAACTTAATTTGTAGTTATATTATTGTTCTTTTAAAATGTAATTTTTGAATTCAAATCTCTTATTCCAGATGCATTTGTAATAATTTCATCCACTTTTCTTTTACTCCTATAAATTCATAGAAGGATTATGCCTTAGAATAAAGCAAAGAGGCTACAGATACATTTAATTTGACGAAGGCATTGGACCAAAAGAGTATACTTGTTTTAAGTTAAAGGTCAAAGAGAAAATCAAGTTCACCAGACCCACCAAGGGATATTAGATTAAACAAACTTCAATGATATTATTTATATGTCACTTATCTTATTTTTAAACTCATCCACAAATAAAAAAAAAGTAAGACATTTATTACTCATCATTCAAACCAGACAATTATATCTTATCTGCAAATGTAATTATGTCTTCAAATAAAAAAAGTAGACATATATTACTTCGCTTCATGTACTCATAATCCATTCGTAATTCAAGACTTGGGGGTTAATTGTGGAAAGATACATGAATGAGAAGAGAGGCTATCAAATCAAACTTCTTTTGATGGGTTATTTGAAATGAAATAAAACATAAAAGAAGGTGAAGAACAAAATTTTACGAATAAAGAAGACTAGTGATGGAGCATGGAATCATAAGCCTGAAAAGGACATTCCACGAACATCATTGTCAATTGAAAAATGTGCCAGCTGTGCCCAGCACTCTCTATCTCGCTCTCTCTCTCTGACCATTTGCAACAGTGTGGGACAATAACCAAAAGAGAATTTTGAGCTCCCTCAGCACTATCCCAAAGCACGAACTCAGATGTCACATCCAGGGCCTGCATAAAGTAACACCCAAGCCACTGATCATCCCCCTCCACTACTTTCCTACTCTTGTTATGATTATTACTAACTACAACTATGAGCATACCTCAAATAATGCTGCAACATGAATCCACATGATTGTAGCACCTTTCTCTTGTTTCCCCTGGCTGACAGGGACCCAAAATTTGTTTGCCTTCTTTCTCACCTCCCAATCTACTCTACTGTTATCATCCTCTTTTAGAATAACAGATGTGGAATATATTTTTTTCTTTTTTTGCTTTTGAATTTGTTACTAATATTGAGAATCGTATGCAAATATGCCTTTAGAAAAAGCTAGATTTAGTGACGCCTTCTCAAATAGTAGTTGTTTAGGAGGTGAAAATGGTGGCGAAGTGGAACCGTAAGAGGGTCGGTGGGCAAGCGGTCCCTCTGAACAGTTCCGCACTAAACATGAATTTAATAAAATAAAAAAAATAAAAAATTACAATTAAACGTATAACTTAAAATCAATTACAATAATCGTAAAGAAAAATCAAATATTTAATAAATACAGGATAATATAATTTTAACAACACATCTTGTGTAAATGAAAATAAAAATTTATTACATAATAAATTTTAAAAAATAATAAAACAAAATACCAAAACAGAATTTAAACTCTAATTCTATATTAACATTAAAGAAAAATCAGTTGATAATAAAAAAAATTCAACTTAATTAAAAGAACACAAAAATCACGTATTTGACGGATGTCGATAACGTCAGCTTAACAAGAAGTGTCAGAAAAGAAAACCAAATGGCCAAGGCAAAGGTACATCAAAGGTGCGGCACAAGCAAGATGTTGCTTTCGTACATTGACACATCGTACCATAATCTACAAACATGCAGCTATTGCCACATCAACTACTACTATATTAGGTGCTTCTCCAGTCTCTCCAAGACAATACCAGAATAAAAACAAAACAAAGCAACTTTAAAGGTGGGAGCAAAAAGAAGGCATCCTTCAGAAAAGATATCTAACATTTTTGTATGGGGAAAGTGATTACTTCTGGCAACGAAACAGCCCCATGACAACCCCAAGAATAGGTTCTCAAATGACTACGGCCCGAAAACCAAACAACATCAAACGCAAAAGCCAGTATCCCATAATGCTAAGCACCATCCCATGCACATATCCCATAACCAACCCCCCACCCCTCCTGTCCTTTCTCTTTACAAAACGTCATGTATTTTATCATTTCCATTTGTCAAAAACCCTTTACTCTCTTCATCTTTTTCATACCCATTCTCTCCATGTCCATTAATGCATGAGCTCATTTCCATGCTGGTGAGCCTTTTAGCTTTCAATGCCTCAGATTCCCAATCTGTATAGAGCAACACAACACACAGAATGGACACGGCACAAGCTACTTGGGCAGACAATAGTCCAAACCAGAGCCCAGGGAACCCCACATTCAGCACAAAGGCTAGGCCCACTGCCACTGGGGTGCCCACAAAGTAAAATGACCCCAGGTTTATGCGGGCACCGACAGCGGGTCGTGCCGTGCCACGTAGGATGCCACAACCAGTTGTTTGTGGGCAGTTACCTAGCTCACACAGCCCTATTATTGGCAAGACTGTGGCAACCAATGGTTTGACCAGATCATCCTTGGTGAACAAACCAGCCCATCTTTCCCTAAGGATCACCGTCCAAGCCACATTGATTATGCCAATCACAAAGGCGCAACCCAATGCCACCATGGCTGCTAGCTTGGCTTTGTATGGCTTCCCAGCTCCGAGCTCATTCCCTACCTGCATTTTTTTTTTTTGCACAAAAGATGCGTAAGGGACATTTGCAAAGGAAAAAAAATGATAAAAAAAAGGCCATTTGTTTCACCTCATGTTGGTTATATTGTTTCGTCACACACCCATTAAATCTGGGCTTCAATCACAAAGTAAACAACTTCTTGCTTGTCTTTTACTAATTCTCTCCAATCACATTAAATGTATGAGTATGACCCCTTTAAAGGGTCATGCAATCACCAATAGATCAAATAGGTATTGAATAATCATTTTTCCCATTCTGTTTATAACCATTTCACTTTTCCAATGATTTTGTAACCTCATCATCTCTTTTCCTCGCTGAGAGATTGGAGATTTAAGCTTCAAGTTTAGGCATTAAAACATAACCATAGTTCAATCAGACAACTCAACTAACTAGAAAGAGTCAAACATTATAAATGCTTTGACATTCCATTACTTTTTTTTTTGTTAAAAGATGAAATGCAATATTAGAGTAATGGCACAGTGGGAGTGGAACTCACACGGGCAGAGACACAGCCAGCAAGAGCCATGGGAACAGTGTACATCATGCTGGTCGTCTGAATCAGGATCCCTGTGGCAGCCACGGCCAGTGTGGGATTCGGTAGGTAACCAGCCATCACAGTCACTATCTCATACCACCACCATTCCAAGCAAATTCCAAGACAACTGGGCACTGCCAATCTCAAGAGAGGGACGACCCCACCACACACTCCTCCAACCCCAGTCGTCCATCTCATCTCCCATCGTCCACTCACCCACACATATCCCACCAACAGCACCACCATATTCATGTTTGTAACGACAGATGCAATTGCTACACCCGGTACTCCCAGCCCCATCACCATAACCAACACATAATTAAGTGGCACGTGGAATATCACAGCCACCAAAGAACACCACATCATGGGCTTTGTCACCCGTTGTGACCTTAAAAAAACCCTCAATGGCTGTAACAAAGTGTTTGTTAGAAGATCCGGTACAGAATACAAACAGTAAGTTGCTGCCATTGCTGTGATATCTTTGTCTTGTCCCATGAACACCATGATGCTCTCAAGATTCAACCATAACAAGCTGATTGGTATAATTGCAAGAAATAAGATGATAATCATGCGTTGGAGAGAGAGGGAAAGTAACTCCCAGTTCTTGCTTCCATAAGCTTGGCTACACACTGGTTCAAGCCCCGAGGCAAGACCTACAAGCACAGAGTAGCCAGTGATGTTAGTGAACCCTATGGAAAGAGCACCACCAGCAAGCTCAAGGCTGCCAAGTCTTCCTAAAAACAGCACTGAAACCACTGCTCTAACAAAGACTAGCCAATTCATGGCTGTTATAGGTAAAGCCATGGCCCATAGCTCTTTCATCTCTTCAAGAACCTGCAATATATATTTATCAAATGTCAATATGATCAAAGAAACCAATAAATGAGAGATAAAACTATAAGCCCATTCTAAGGGCTTACATGGGAAGCAGAGGGGAATTTGTGGGAAGAGAAATCTGTGTCCTTTTCTGCCATGAGTGTCACCAAAGAAAAAGGTTTGCAACAAAAAGATTTCTAAAATGGCATGTAATCTCCAAGAAAGTGATCTAATCAAACAGTAAAAATCAAAACTAGCCCGAGTTCCTTTTTTTCATTCAATTGCTGAGACTAGAACAGAATGGCCTAGATACCCAACAACTTATGTGATCAAGAACTCTGACAAAAAGAAAGAAATCAAAGAAAAAACTGAGAAAAACAAACTCCTATTTAGCTGTCTTTGCTCTATAACTCTCAACACTGAAAGAAGGGAAATGGGGAACAAGAAGCACGGTGTTGAAAAAGGAGAGGAGGCACTAAATAGAAGAAGGGTGGTGACAGAAGATGAGGGTGCAATTTTTAATAGTCAAAAGCAGCAAAAAGAAAAGAAAAGCAGTCGTTTTTGTTGCTTTATTGTAGCTTAGGCTTGCTATAAAAAATATATGCAGAAGTATATATGCTATTGATGTAAGTGATGGAGATTTTACAGCCGGAAAAGAAAGGGAAATGGGAAAAGTAAGAGATTTTGCTGATGGCGGCGAGACATAGATAGAGAGAGGAAAGGAAAAGGTTGATTCAGAGTGAGAAAAGAGAAAGCGACAGAGAAAGGCAAAGAGGAAGCAGAGGGGGTCCTCTTCTTAAGCTTGTCATTATTCATTACTAGTGAGTCAACCCGGCTTCGTCCGGTATGTTAAATTAAGTTTTAATATTTCATCTATTTAAAATAATTTATTATAAATTTAATAATAGAAAATTAATATAAAATGTTTGATGTCTATTTAAAAGATCAACAATCAAAAGGACAGAGGAAATGCCTTAAAACAAAAAATACGGAAATCTCTTATATCAGTGATGCGAAATATATTTCCTTCAAGGAAGGGTTCTTCTGTATTTTATCACTATAATTAATTTTTTTTAATATGATTATATCTTAAAATATGGTAAGGAGAGATGTTTTTATTTATTGTGTAAATACCATATTTTATATGGTGTATAATCAAATTTTAAATTCGAGTTTCTTTGAAATTATCTGGTTTTGAAAGTGCTCATGTTTGAATTTTTTAGGCTTTCAGTCTAATAATTGTTAAATGGAAGCAAGTTTTAGTTAGATTAATATTTTATTATTATTATTATTATTATTGTTATTGTTGTTGTTATTATTTTTTTAATTTTATTTTTAATTTTTTTGTTCTTTCTTTCTTTTATTCGTGTGTTGTTGTTTTTTAACAATAAAATTAAAAAAAAATATGAATCAACAAAATTTTTTAGATTTTTGTACGTGAATTGGGTAAAAGTTTTAGAATTTATTTGCATATAATTTAGAAAACCACAATCAAATGGAAAACATTGAACCCAAATTGAATAAACATCAAATCTTGTTATTCAAGCCTTAATTGAATCTATAAACCCTAAAAAATTTGTTAAAAGGACCATAAATCAAGCGTAAATACACAGTTTCGGGGGGGGGGGATCTCAATTTTTTTTTAATTCAATGATTTCTAAAAAGCAAAAAGGAGTTTTGTAGGTTTTTTGGTTTTTAGGAATCTTGGGAGAGTTTTTTGGGTAGGTTTTAGGGTTTTTCTTTTATTTTGAAGTTTTTGAGAATTCGGGGAAATTGGGATTCCTGGGCTTATCAAAACTTTATGAAAATTAGGGTTTTGATTTCAATTTGGATTGGGAAATTCTTGGATTTAGGGTTTGGATTTTTGGGTTAAGCATGGGATTTTCTCCTTGGGTTTTGATTTTCAGATTTGGTTGTAAAATTGTTTTGATTTTGGGTTAGTTTTTTTAGAGTTGATTTGAAAATATGGGTTTTCCTGGGTTGTTGTATAACTTTAGGTTAAAATTTTGAACTTCTCACTTAGACTTTGAAGTTTCCAATGAAGAAGCTTCACGATGGTCAAGGGATTTTGGGCAACGATTTTTGGGTTTTTGGGGTTTGGGTTGGATGTCTAGTGGCCATTAGAAATTGTCGACTTTGGTTTTTGGGATTGTGGCTAGAAATTGGAATCCTTTGGTTTTTTTTATTGAAGTTAGAGAGAAGGCAGAGAGAAATTAAGGCAGAAAGAAAAAGAACAAAGAGCTTCCAAAGGAAAAACATATTTTTTGTTTTTATACACAATCAAAATGACATCGTTCTGCAAAGGGATAGGATCCGTGTAAACCTAACTCTAACTCACGTGTGACCCAGCTTCAACCCGACCCGTTTTGTAGGTTTTTCTTTTTCTTTTTTGGTTATTTTTTGTTTTATTTTTTTATGTCATATTTCTTTCTTGTATTTATATTTTAATGCATATTTAATTGCATGATATTTTACATTTTTGAATGATTATTATTATGGCATGATATATTACATTTTATTGTATGATAAATTTTGCATTATAATTTTCATTCATTTTATTTGAGTGTTTTATTTTTTTTTAAAAAATAGTTTTTTAAAAAATTAAAAATACTTTTTAATCATAACAAACTATTGGAAGATTTTTCATGAATTTAAACATTTATGAATTTTATCAAACTATTGAAGAATTTTATAAAATGATTTTTTAAAAAATTATTATTAATAAAATATTTTATTTTGATCATACCAAATTGTTAGAGGATTTGCAACTTAAATTAACTCTTACAAAACTATTGGACGATTTAATTCATTTCCTAAAAAATAAATTTACAAAAAAATCTTATCAAATTATTGAAAGATCTGCATTAAAATAAAACATACCAAACTATTAAAAGATTTTACTAATTATTTTCTTAAATAAAATATATGAATGAATACGATGATGATGCCTCTTTAGAGTGGGATAATAGTCTGTATAAATACTCATGAAGTGATAGAATTATTTTAAATTGCTATCAAACTATTGGAGTAATTTTAAAATCAATTTTTAATATTAAATATTTTTGATAAATCATAAATATGGTTAAAGCTTGGATAATTTGAAATTAAATTAGTACCATCCTTTGGATAGGTGTTGTGAGGGTGTTATATCATTCCTCACGTGTAAATGTACTCTCGAGCCTTAAATCTAGTTTCGTAGATCAAAATCTACTATTTAAAGATACTTAAATTAATCTTGAGACTCATCTTTAAATGGGACAGATTTTGTCAAATGGCTAATCGCATATAAACAAAAATATTGGTGGTGACTCCTTTAATTCATGTCTAGCGATAGGTTCACGGATCTATATGTTATGATATATTGAGCAGCATAAACCTTACCTACTTGACAATCTGTCTCCTAACATGTTTATGGTAGTTTTGATTACGGAACAACTCATTTGCTAATACTTGAAACTATTCAAAAACACACATCATAAAATTTTAGCAAGAAAATTACAAAACAAACTATGGGAATATGACTATATGAGAAACTACAGCACTCTGATTGCAATATCAAATTTGAGGAAACACAATTCATGGCTAATTCCCATGATTCCTATAATACAATATACACAACATAGATTAATAGGGTTGGGTTAGTATCCTATGTTCTCAATGAAGAAAGCCATTTAGGTAGCAAAAATAATAAAAAAAAAAGTCAACATTAGACATGTAAAAACCTTGATAATTTCTTTCTCACACATCCAAATGCCTTGAAAGATGATGGTTTTTTAACTTTGAAGTCATTGATAGAGCTTTATGAGTTTTCTTGACTCAAAATAGTGCTATGAATAGAACATTAAGTGGCATCACCTTTTAGCATGAATTCGAAGAAGCTAAGCAGTACTAATGCATTCTCTGATCTTGAGAACTGCCATTAATAGATATGTTGAACAAAAATTGGATTATGTTTTCTCTCATTATCATTTAACAATACCTTATATTCTCATAGCATAGAGAGATGAGCACATCAATAGCAAGGTGTTGTTCCCCCTTATTATCAACTTCCAAGAGTATGGCTACTGAAGCACATAAATTGGCTTCTGTAACTTCAATTCTAACCTCATCAGTATTGCATGTATTGTTTACAATCTCAATCAATTGCCTGCAACATTTGAATCCTCAAAATAAGAAACAAGCTTAAGGATGTAACCGAAATATGCAATATGGTAACCAACATCACTGCAATTAGACAAATTACATAGGATTTTCAATGCAAGCATGTAAAATTCTGTGACTGTAGTATCAAGGACTTTCTTTGTAAATCCACATTCTTTCTTGCTAATCATGATTGTTTTCCTAGACCAATAAATTGTCTATGCTTAGCTCTCATCTAAAACCTTATTATAATAGTAACATTCGAAAACCCAAAACATTTATATAAACATAAGCATTCTTTTATTCTTCAAAACTAATAACAAAACCCTAAAAATCTTTCCAATCTCTCTTAATAAATTTCTCATATATCTTTTTTATCAATACATTAATCAATAGAGAAATTACTATAAAATAATAAAAACAAAGCTATACACTAACCTTAAACTTTAATATCTAGAAAGTTTGACAAAACCCTAATGTCATAACGTCTAGATCCGGGGATCTATCGCTAGACATTGACTTTCAGGGAGTCGCCACCAATCTTTTTTTTTATCTAGGTGCGATTGGCCACCTATGGAATCTGTCCTTTTAGGAAACACCTAAGTTTAAGGGCCCCTAAAAGAATAGGTTCGGGTCTACAAACCAGAACAGGGTTCGGGAGTTCGGTTACGTGTGAGGAAGGTTATAGCACCCTCACAACGCCCATCAAAAGATGGTACCAGCTGAAATTTGTGTTATCCAAAAGCCTTAAAATTTTACCAAGTAGTTAATTATTGAAAATTATTCTCAATTGACTCTAATACTTTTAGTAGAAAATTGAGAAAATTCCCTCACCTCAAGAGTATGCAAGAAAAACTACTGTTTCACTTGCAGAGGCTCCGTCGTCGGATTATTTAACAAAAAAAAACAAAATCAAAATTAAGATAGAAAGGAAGGAAAGAATGATTTTTTTTTTGTAGGGAAAATTGATACTTTCAACTTTTCCCAAAAATATTTTTTTGGAAATTTCGATTTTCAAGGAAAATTGATACTTTCAACTTTTCCCCAAAAATATTTTTTTTTGAAATTTTGATTTTTCAAGGAAAATTGATACTTTCAACTTTTCCCTAAAAATATTTTTTTTTGAATTTATTTCTGAGGAAAATGATACTTTCAACTCTTCCCCAAAAATATTTTTTGAAAATTTATTTCTAAGGAAAATTGATACTTTCAACTTTTCCCTAAAATATTTTTTTTTGAAATTTATTTCTGAGGAAAATTGATACTTTCAACTTTTCCCCAAAATATTTTTTGGAAATTTATTTCTAAGGAAAATTGATACTTTCAACTTTTCCCTAAAAATATTTTTTTTGGAATTTTTTATTTTTATTTAAAGAAAATAAAATAATAAAAAATAAAAAAAAGAATATTACATAAACCTAATCTAATAAATAAAAAATAAAGATAAACAATAAACAAAGAAATAAAAAAAATTCCAAAAAAAAAAAAAAAACCCGGAGCGGCTCGGCTCGGCTCTGAGGGGGCTGGCACGCGCGGGTCAGAAAGCGGGTCGACGCCCGGGTCGGGTCGGGTTCGGCAAAACGCGCGGATCCTCTGGGTTACT